GTACTCAGCTGTTTGCAACTAGACTGCTCCAGAGGACAGAAGTTATTAATAAATCTTATTCCAGTGGTGTTGTCTGAAAAATAAAGTAGATGCCAATATCTGCTGGGAGGCCTTGTAGAAAACAGATCAAAGGCTTCTGGAGTTTATTTAAGAAGGAGCAGTTGTGAGTGGCTTAATGTCTAAGCATGGCATGGAAACAGCCATGACAGTGAGCCACCATATGCAGAAGTCCTCTGGACTTCAGTAAAGAATTTGAGTAATATGTGGTACAGGTGGACATTTGTCTCAGCCTGTCATTCTGCTATTCCTTTGTCTCTAAGGAAGGCATTTTCTCCTCTGTCTAACCCCTGAAAAAGGGGAAAACTTTCTCTGAAATTCTCCCTTCTCCCCACCAGCGGTGCAGGGAGATGTGGAATGGGGGTTTTGTCCAGTTCATCATATGTTCTTTCTGCTGCTGCTTCCTCTTCAGGGAGAGGAATCCTTATTGATGCTCCAGCACGACATCTCTCCCACAGGAGACAGTCCCCCTCAAACTTCTCCAGTATGAGCCCTGCCCCAGACTGCAGTTTTTCATGAACTGTTCTGCCATGCATCCCTTTCCATGGGGTGCAGTCCTTCTGAAACAGACTGCTCCAGTGTGGGTCCCCTATGGAATCACATGTCCTGCCAACAAACTTACTCCAGCATCGACTCCTCTCCACAGGTTCTCAGGTCCCTGCCAGGAGCCTGTTCTAGTGCAGGCTTCCCACGGGGTCAGTGTCCTCCTGGGCATCCACTGCTCCAGTGTGGGGTTCCTCCATGGGCTGTGGATGGATATCTGCTCCACCATGGCCCTCCACAGTCTGCAGGGAGCACAGCCTGTCACATGGTCTGCACCATGTTTTGCATGGGAATCTCCTCTTTAGCACCTGGAGCACCTCCTCTCCCTCCTTCTCCACTGACTTTGCTGTCTGCACAGTGGTTTGTCTCACATATTCTCACTCATCTCTTCTCTGGTCACAATTACTTCTAAACAATAAATATTTTATATTTTTCTTTACTCTGTTATCCCAGAGGCACTAGCACCATATCTGATTGGTTCAGTCTTGACCAGCTGGTCTCCCTTGGATCCGGCTGACATTGGCTCTGTTAGACGTGGAGGAACCTTCCGGCAGCTTCTCATAGAAACCACCCCTATAGCTCCCCCCAGTGCTAAAAACTTGCCATGCAAACACATTGCAGGCCTGTAGGATGCCTTGATTTATAAAATACCTTGGGACAGCTGCAACATCTTCAGTTCATACCACTAATAGATTGTAATATATATAGTGTCTGTGCTTTCACATGGAATCATTGCTCCTGTGTTTTAGGGATTTTGCATTATTTTCTTCTCCCTTCTGACATTCCCTAGGTGGCTATGTTTTCTTCATGGATGGGACATACAACAGTGAAAAACCCCAAGAAACCAAAACCTTAGAAGAATCTGAAAGGGCTTAAAAAATTAAATAAATGGCTATCCTGATATCTGAAGGTGGTCCCTACCCCTTAGTCAGATTTCTCTTTAATGACCTCAGTGGAGTATAAAGGCACAAGCCTTTTCCTGGCCAAACCAGTCTCTGCTGGGAGAAGGGCTGAGGAATATTTCCAGTCACTCTGATCTCTTAATTTGAGTTCTTGCAAGGAACTCAAGGAAAAGCTTCAGCAGGGAAGTTCCCACCTATTGCATCTTTACCAATGAAATCACTTTAGAAAAGGATCAAGGAACCTAATAGGAACTGCCATGTGGAAAGGATACAAAGAGAAAGGGAGCAGGTATCAGTTGCCACAATATTCACTTCTTATCACATCAGAAGCTCGATATCACATCTTCCTTCAAGCTGCTGATCCCAAAGAAACCGACTGCAAATACTTGCCAGTTCTGTGTAAGTGGCACAGAACTGTGTATGTTCAAAATAATTGTTTACACCTTAATGCATCCAAGTGACCCTGTATACCTGTGTTTTGGTACCTGTACCAAACCCTGAATACCCTGAATGTTGCTGGCTGGTCACCTGATAGGGTAAGCTAATTTCCATGACCTTTTGTCGCTTTATGATTTTTTCTCTATGAAGTATATTGTCACAACTCAAAAATCCTACTGATACTACTGGTAACTGTCCCCATTGTGCTATACCTTTTCTGATCCAACAGCCTAGTGTGTTTCATACTACTGAGCTACAGATATAAAAAAAAACCAAGATATTGGGAAAAAACTTCTTGAGGGATTGTCTTCTTTTAATCAAAACTAAAACATTCCTAAGCAAACTTATTGTGCAATATGCCATAATATATTTTTTAAGAGATGAAATTCTTGACAAAAAAGTTGAACAATTTTAATTTACTGGTAGTTTTGGGGGGCTTTTTCAAAGCAGGCGTTTAACACTTCAAAATTTTATTGTGAGAGTGTGGATGTGCTGGAAATTGGTTATGTTAGTAACAAAAATCTCAAAGAGCTGCCAAGTGAATTCTAGACAAAAGGGAACACTAATAGAATGCAGGAACTAAACAACAATATGGTAACAGCAAAAAGACAGAAATACTTCAGGGACCTCTAATCCCCATGGCTTGATGAGGTTTCAGAGGGAAAACATGAAGATCTAGTACATTCTTCTGCAAAGTGGTATGCATGCTTGACTTCCCACGCTGGACATTTCCACTGAAGTCAGTGGGATAACTTGTTCTGAATAATACCATATGTCTCCATCTTTTCAGGCCCAAAGTCTTAAGCTTTATTTATTAGGTCTGGGATGCGTATAGTTGTATCCATGTTCACATTTGTCCAGGACAGTAATTATTTATTTATTCCTAAAACAGAAACATACTTTTAGTATCTATCAATGCTTTTGACTTTTGTCTTCTAAGTATTTTTGCTCTTTTGCATGATGACATGCTATCCTATCTATGAAAAATTACCCTGTTTGTTAGATATGAAAAAATAAACGGTTTAATGTTTATGTGAATTATCACATTATTAATTCAGAGAAGCATATTCGTTGATTACACAGAGTTTATAAATATCAAGGGCTTTCTTGTACATATGGGGCCTGGATACTCTCTTCTGAACTAGTTTTGCAGTGGGATTTATTGAAGTCTTTACAAATTGGTGGAACATAATCTGCTAGAATAATCAGAACTAACAAACAAAGAATATAGCCTCTTATTCCTTCCTTTTTTTCTCTCTTTCTTCCTGTTTATGTGTTCATCAGTAACATTTGATTGTTTTGTTTGGGCATGTTTGCGGAAAAGTATCTGTTAGGTCCACCATCAATGTCCCTTTCAACATTAAAAACTATGAAAAAGAAAAATGCTAGTCTTCCCCATCTGGTAATGTAATGTAGTTTGATCCAACTTTGGGGGGAAAACTGGTCAAAGATGTAATTTTGGAAATCCTCAAGTGGATTTAGAATTTTTGTCTCAATTCCCATTGGGCCTATTTCCATTGGCAAGTAGGGGAAGTAATCAAAGGAGAGGGAGAAAATTTAATTGTATGTTTTATGTTGGAGTGACTGATCGTTTCTCTTATGAACATCATACTTGGGTAACTTTTCAGACCTCAAGTTGTCATGTTTTCCACTCATTTATGAACAGAGTAACAAAGTACTCAACTGCCTTTAAGTTCCTTACTTGTACCTTTAAAATTTCTCCATAAAAATGTTTTATCAGCAGCATTAAATAAAATGCTTTCAAGTATCCTGTATCTGGTTTGCTCAAGACTAAAAAAATATACAAATAATATATACAAATATACAATACAAAGAACGCCTTATCTGATCAAGAGATAAATGAAGCATTTTTTATTTTTAATAGTGAAATGCACTGAAATATTACACAGTGCACATTATGTGTTTGTTTTGCCAAATATTATTTTATGTTCTTCCTTTCTGTCCTGGGGTACAATTCAAAAATGTGTATTCTGTCACCATCTGTTGAAATGTGGGAGGGGTGGTGATCCTTATCACTGTGGGAGATATCCTCTGCTGATGTGCCATCTGATAAAATCAGGGGGATGATCATCGTTATCTTTTCACAACCCATCCTTCCTTCAGAAGATATCTTCTGTTAATGGGCCATTAAGTCCTACTGATAAGATTACATCATCCCATTGGGAGATGCTCCAGCCAGGGGGAGGAGCCAAGCCTTTCCTACCTAGATAAAAAAAACCTGAGGTTTGGAACACCAAGGCAGCCCTTTCCACTGGATCCCAGAGGAAAGTCAGACCTTTTCCACACCATCGCTGGACCTTTGGAGGAAAACTGCACCTTCTACAGGACCACTGCTTCAACTGGACCACATCTGTCATCCAGGAGGACTGCAGCCACCATTTATACAGACTGCTACCAACACCCTGACTGACAGGGTGTCAGGTTGTATTCTGACTCTGCCAGTAGTTTTCTTTTGTATTATTGCATGTATTTTATTTTTTTTCTTTCCTATTAAATTGTGTTACTGAGTTGGAGTCTCTCACTGGTTTTGCTTTCAAAACAGTACATTTATTGTCGCCCAACGTGGGGCACAAAGGTACTGAGAAAAGTCAGCATTACAATTTGGTATTGTAGAAGTCACCTATTCACCATGATTCTCAACATGCTTACATGGGTTTTGTATCTTGCTCTCTATATTTTTCCTCACATGAGGAACTATCTGCCGGCTGTAATGCTCCTGTGTAGACCAGGGCATGGTATAATAATTGCTTTATTGGTCTATTATGTCTATTGCATAATAACCTCTGAGGCAATGAACATCATTTGGAATATATACTCAAGTTTGTTGTAGGCTGCTACATCTGGGGCCTCAACAATCGCACCCAGCCCCGGGGGGGAGGGGTAAAGAATGATTTTTTCCAATCTTTCAAGCTTGACACAGCAGTTTTTGGAAATGTTGAGTTCTCTGGATGCCAAAGACATCATAATGTTGTTGTTAGTTCTGCTTTGTCTCCTCTGCACAGCCTGCAACATGCTTAGAAACAAAACACTACATGGTGTACTGCAGCGTATTCTTGAAGAAGAGGAAAAAAAGAAACAAAATAACTTTGTCCATGTCTGCACAGAATGTCACAAAAGGGAAAAGAACCAAACAGAAAGCAACAGTGTCCGTGTCTATGCAGACTGCCACAGAGGAGAAAGGAACCAAAAATGCCATCAGCATCTCCACACAAACTGTCACTGAACCACAGCAGCCTAGACCAGTAGCAGTTGCCCCCGTTCAGAAGAAGAAATCAAAGAGCAAATCAGTCCGCATAGTGACTGACGAGGATGTGGCAGAACCTTTGCACCCAGTGGAAGAGACAGAGCCAGAAATCATCACTCGCTCTCTATCCCTGGGTGAGCTGCGTGACCTGTGGAGGGAATTCACCCGCCAGACAAATGAGTCCATCCTGACCTGGCTGCTCCGCATCTGGGACGCTTCAGCCAATGACACCATTCTGGATGGAAGTGAGGCCAGGCAACTGGGATCTCTGTCCCGGGATGTGGTCATTGACCAGGGGATTGGGAGAACCCAAGAAACTCTCAGCCTCTGCCGGCAACTGCTGACAAGTGTAAAGGACAGATACCTTTGTAAAGAAGATCTCCAGGTGCACCAAGGAAAATGGAGCACAATAGAACAGGGTATCTGATATCTAAAGGAATTGGCTGTGCTGGAAATCATTTTCTCAGAAGATGAGAGATTTCCTAAGAGCCCAGACTGTGTCTGGTCCACGTCACAGATGTGGTTGAGATTTGCACGGCTTGGACCAGAGATGTACTCTTGTTACCTGGCAACGCTGCAGTGGAGGGAAGGTGAGGACATGGTAGGCGTCTTGGCCAATAAACTAAGAATTTATGAGGACACTGTCACCACCCCATTTCGTACCCATGTCTCATCTGTAGAAACAAGGCTGGTTGAGCAAGTCTGGAGCTTGATTGAAGAGGGCCATTGAAAACTAAAAAAGGACCTTAAGAAAGACAACTACCAGATCTCGCCAGAACCAATAAGAGTCTCTGCCATTAGGAGCCGGCGTTCCCCAGCCAGGGAAAGAGGACACACTCCACGAGGTAACCTCTGTTTTTTCCCTCAGGAGCATGGAGAAGACATGAGGAAGTGGGATGGAAAACCCACCTCCTCCTTAGCAGCTCGGGTACGTGAACTGAAAAAAGGGACACCTAACATAAGAAGCTCACATAGAGTCAATGCTGCTCCAGTCTCTCATGCACAAAACTCCAAACAGTATCAGAATAATGATATGAGTGATTCTCTTGAAGGGACCGCAAGAACCTATTTACAGGAAGAGAGCAACGTGTACCAAGACTAGGAATAGAGGAGCCCTGCCTCTAGCCAAGTAGAAAAGAGGGACAGTCGAATCTATTGGACTGTGTGGATCTGATGGCCTGGCACATCTGACCCACAAAAACATAAGGTTTGGGTTGACACCAGCGCCCAATGTACCCTGATGCCATCAAGGTATGTAGGAGAAAAATCCATCTCTATTTCTGGGGTAACAGGAGGATCCCAGCAGCTAACTGTAGTGGAGGCTGAAGTGAGTTTAACTGGGAACAGGTGGCAGAAACACCCCATCGTGACTGGCCCAGAGGCCCCATGCATCCTTGGCATAGACTATCTTAGAAATGGATATTTCAAAGACCCAAAAGGATATCATTGGGCTTTCGGGATAGCTGCTGTAGAAACAGAAGACATTAGAAAGCTGATCACCTTGCCTGGTCTCTCAGATGGCCCCTCTGCTGTGGGACTACTGAGAGTTGAAGAGCAACAGGTACCAATCGCCGCAACAACAGTACACTGTCGGCAATACCATACTGACAGAGACTCTGTGATTCCCATCCATGAAATGATCCGTAAACTGGAGAGCCAAGGGGTGGTCAGCAAAACCCACTCACCCTTCAACAGCCCCATCTGGCCTGTGCGTAAATCTGAAAGAGAATGGAGATTGACCGTAGACTATTGTGCATTGAATGAGGTGACTCCACTGCTGAGCGCTGCTGTGCCAGACATGCTGGAACTCCAGTACGAGCTGGAGTCCAAGGCAGCAAAGTGGTACGCCACTATCGATATCGCCAATACATTTTTCTCCATTCCTCTGGCAGCAGAATGCAGGCCTCAGTTTACTTGCACCTGGAGGGGCGTGCAGTACACCTAGAACTGACTGCCTCAGGGGTGGAAGCACAGTCCCACCATCTGTCATGAACTGATCCAGGCTGCACTAGAAAAGGGCGAGGCTCCCAAACATCTACAGTATATCGATGACATCATTGTATGGGGCAGCACAGCAGGAGAAGTCTTCAAGAAAAGAGAGAAAATTATCCAGATTCTGATGAAAGTTGGTTTTGCCATTAAGCGAAGTAAGGTTAAGGGACCGGCTCAGGAAATTCAGTTTCTAAGAGTCAAGTGGCAAGACAGACGTCTTCAGATCCCAACAGAGGTAATTAACAAGATCACCACTGTGTCTCCACAAGACAACAAGAAGGAAACACAAGCTTTCCTAGGTGCCATAGGCTTTTGGAGAATGCACATTCCTGAGTACAGCCAGATTGTGAGCCCTCTCTACCTGGTTACCCGCAAGAAGAACAATTTCCACTGGGGCCCTGAACAGCAGCAAGCCTTTGCCCAGATCAAGCAAGAGATTGCTCATGCAGTAGCCCTTGGCCCAGTCAGGACAGGACCAGAGATGAAGAATGTGCCCTACTCTGCAGCTGGAAACCATAGTCTGTCCTGGAGCCTTTGGCAAAACGTGCCTGGTGAGACTCGGGGTTGACCACTGGAATTCTGGAGCAGAAGTTACAAAAGATCTGAAGCCAACTACACTCCCACAGAAAAGGATATCTTGGCTGCCTATGAAAGAGTTCAAGCTGCCTCAGAGGTGATTGGCACTGAAACGCAGCTGTTTCTGGCACCTTGACTCCTGGTACTGGGCTGGATGTTCAAGGGAAAGGTGCCTTCCACACATCACGCCTCTGACACCACATGGAGCAAATGGATTGCCCTCATCACTCAGCATGCGTGTCTTGGAAATCCGGATCGCCCTGGGATTCTGGAAATAATTACAAACTGGCCTGAAGGTGAGACTTTTGGATTGTCTTCTGAAGAAGAAGAGGAGCAAGTGGCATGTGCTGAGGAAGCCCCACCATATAATGAGCTACCAGAGACTGAAAGACGATATGCCCTCTTCACTGATGGTTCCTGCTGAATTGTAGGCACTAACCGGAAATGGAAAGCTGCAGTATGGAGCCCCACATGACACGTTACACGAGCTACCGAGGGACAAGGTGGATCAAGTCAGGTGGCAGAGCTAAAAGCCGTCCAGTTGGCTTTGGATATTGCAGAACGAGAGAAGTGGCCAAGGCTCTATCTGTACACTGACTCATGGATGGTAGCTAATGCTCTGTGGGGATGGCTGGATCGCTGGAAAAAGGCCAACTGGCAGCACAGAGGGAAACCTGTCTGAGCTGCTGAGATTTGGCAGGACATTGCTGCCCAAGTAGAGAGACTGAGCATTAAGGCTCAACACGTGGATGCGCATGTACCCAAAAGTCGGGCTAATGAAGAACATCACAACAACGAGCAGGTGGACCGAGCTGCCAAAGTGAAAGTATCACAGGTGGATCTAGACTGGCAGCACAAGGGAGAATCATTCCTAGCTCGTTGAGCCCATGATGCCTCTGGTCATCAAGGGAGAGATGCAACATACCGATGGGCCCGTGACCGAGGGGTGGACCTTACCATGGACAGCATCTCACAGGCCATCCACGACTGCGAGACCTGTGCCGCAATCAAACAGGCCAAGCGGGTGAAGCCTCTGTGGTACGGTGGACGATGGTCAAAGTACAGGTATGGGGAAGCCTGGCAAATTGACTACATCACCCTTCCCCAAACCCTCCAGGGCAAGCGTTACGTACTGACCCTAGTGGAAACAACCACTGGATGATTAGAGACCTACCTTGTGCCCCATGCTACTGCCCGAAATACCATCTTGGGCCTAGAAAAACAAGTCCTTTGGAGGCCTGGTGCTCCTGAGAGAACTGAGTCAGACAACGGAACCCATTTCAAAAATGGCCTTATCAACACCTGGGCCAGAGAACACGGCATTGAATGGATATATCATATCCCTTACCATGCGCCAGCTGCCGGGAAAGTTGAACAGTGTAATGGACTCCTTAAGACTACCCTAAAAGCATTTGGTGAGAGAACCTTCAGAAACTGGGAAATGAACTTGGCAAAAATCACCTGGATGATCAACACCCAAGGGTCCATCAATTGAGCCGGTCCTGCCCACTCTAAACCCCTGCACACAGTGGATGGAGACAAAATCCCTCTACTACACATGAAAGGTATTTTAGGAAAGACTGTTTAGATTAATCCCAATGCCGGCAAAGGCAAACCAATCCATGGGATTGTTTTTGCTCAAGGACCTGGTTACACTTGCTGGGTAATGAAGAAAGATGGGGAAACCCGTTGTGTACCTAATTTTAAGTGAGAACTGTGTGTAAGGTTTCATTCTGTATTATATATGTACGTATATATATTTATATTTATATATGTATGTCTGTAAGAGGGTATTGGCTTTGGTATGATGTAAATGGTAATAGAATAAGGGGTGGATTATGTCCTGGGGTACAATGCAAAAATGTGTATTCTGTCACCATCTGTTGAAATGTGGGAGGGGTGGTGATCCTTATCACTGTGGGAGATATCCTCTGCTGATGTGCCATCTGATAAAATCAGGGGGATGATCATCGTTATCTTTTCACAACCCATCCTTCCTTCAGAAGATATCTTCTGTTAATGGGCCATTAAGTCCTACTGATAAGATTACATCATCCCATTGGGAGATGCTCCAGCCAGGGGGAGGAGCCAAGCCTTTCCTACCTAGATAAAAAAACCCTGAGGTTTGGAACACCAAGGCAGCCCTTTCCACTGGATCCCAGAGGAAAATCAGACCTTTTCCACACCATCGCTGGACCTTTGGAGGAAAACTGCACCTTCTACAGGACCACTGCTTCAACTGGACCACATCTGTCATCCAGGAGGACTGCAGCCACCATTTATACAGACTGCTACCAACACCCTGACTGACAGGGTGTCAGGTTGTATTCTGACTCTGCCAGTAGTTTTCTTTTGTATTATTGCATGTATTTTATTTTTTTTCTTTCCTATTAAATTGTGTTACTGAGTTGGAGTCTCTCACTGGTTTTGCTTTCAAACCAGTACACTTTCCTAAATTCATTGGTAAACACAGAGCTTTCATTTGTCAGAAATCTGCAAGATACTAATATTTACTGTCAGATCAATCACTCCTCTTACTGTTTCCTTATGTTTGCAGTTAATACTTAAAGTTTTCCCTTTGCTAAATCTTTGCATTCTTTTCACTAAATGAGTTGACAAGTCTAACTTAGGAATAAATACAACACCTGGAATCTTCTAGCTGATTTTGCAATGAGAGCAGAGGCTAAACTGAGGTCTTCATGAAGAGCTGTACATCCCACAATAAGAGTATGATAAAAAATGCAACAAGAATTCTATATTTGTACTTGATCGTAGGAAGACATCAAAAATGTGTAGATGCATCATGTAGGATTGTGTCTTAATCTCCACATTCAAATCTGACTATATGACTTTTCCGTTCCTAAAACAGTGTGGAACAATTTAGAGGAGTTGTTTTGCTTTGTTGGTGGTTCTTTTAAGCCAAAATTCAAATCTTCTGCCTGAAAATTTGAAATCTAAATTAAAGTTGTAGGCAGGGCCAGTCAGGAGCAGAGTCCCTTCCTGTGGCTATACAAGACTAGGCTCTGCAGTATGGATACTGTTTACCACTAAACAAATGGCAGGAATATATAACTAAAGAATTTATTTGTGTTTTAGTAACCCTGAGATCAAAATAATATAGATGTGTTATAGTGACCAAAGGAAAGTACTACAGTTGTCTTTACAAGCAGTAAATCCACTGAACAGAGCAGCTGTGTAAGAACAGCAACTATAGTAGCAGCTCTCAGTCCCTGGCATGCACACTTACACTGGTATTTCATTTCTGGTATTCAAAGTTTCTTGTCTGTGATAACCTCTGCAACCGCCGCTCCTTATTCAGTTGTGTATGCAGTCTTCCACTGTAATATTTTGAGTGCTACTGGGGGATGGAGAAACTAAGGCTTGTGTTTAGAGCAAGAGTAGCAAAATAAATTAATACCAGTACAAGGTTATGGTATTTTGTTTCTCCTGAAATTGTATAGGTCTTAAATTTTCCTCTTTCTTTTTCCCTCCCCTTTTTCTTTCAACCTTCTCACTTTTCTTGTTTCCTTTGAGAATTCTGCTGAGCATATATATAGATTGAGGAGAATGAGGCTAAAATTTGCTCTGCATGAGCCAATGCTCCAGTCATCCACCTTGCCTTAGGGATGAGATACAACATTTGTCAGCTCAGTCACTGTGGAAGTTCACACACAGGTTCCACTCTCACAAACCTTCCAGTTCCCCAGCTGCAAGAGGGAAGTAGCTGTCAGGAAAATTTTTAAGCTTGAAAATAGATTGGATATTTGTTTGCAATAATCCAAGCAGATGGGATTGCGGTCCAAGAAGGATTGGAAGATGAGTACAAAAGACTGTAAGGTCACCTGGGACAGATGGTGAAACCCAGAATACTGTGACACTCTGCAATGATGACCTTTTCCCACTGTTGCAAACAGGGTTAAGCCCTCTTAAATATTGTACCAAATCACTGAGCACTTTAGAGGCTGTTGGTGAACAGGACTTTGAGATCCAGGAGATAAGGACATGGTCTGTGAATCCTTGGCTAAGCAGATACATTAGCTGTCCAGTTTTCTAGATGGTGTAGCAAATACTCAGAGGGAGGCACTCTGTTTCCTTTTACTTGAGCCCACGGAAGGCTTCTCCAGAGTTTGTTCGGCAGGGTGCTAAGACTATTTCCTCTATCTCCTGATAGAGAAAGTGCACTGTAAGCTTTTATACATTGTCAATTCCCAGTATTGCTAACACTTATATGCACATAGAGAACAACTAGTGTGATAAGCAATGCTACCTGGCAAAAAACCTTCCAGAAGAAAAGACATCCCTATTAAAGGCATAATATAAACAGCAAAAAAAAGCATTGGAACCCCAACCATCTTTAGTTCTGCTTTGAAAAACATGCTTTTGCACATACTGATTGCAATTGTGCACACACTTTGGCCACACATTTCAAGATTTGTACACATGACTAGGATGCATTTTCAAAGCTAATAATGAATATTCAGAAGTCTTTTAAAAAATGTGTGATGACTAACATATTCAAAACTACCTGAAAGCAAATGCAGACTGTGAGACATAGGATCTTGAAATGTCCAGCAGAGAATTCAACATTAACTGCATGAAATTCTTCTGTGTAAAAGAAGGGAAAGATTATTCTCTTTATTTTACTTATATTCATGTGTTTCTTTTCAGATATATTGCATACTTTATGTTGACATTATGAAGCAGTTTACTGTAATCCATAATAAACTTAGATTTTTTTTATTAAGCTGTTTTATACTTTTTGCATTTTATAGTTGCAAATGAGGACTGAGACTGCATTCAGCTGTTGCTGTGCCAGCCTGGCATAACCCCACCAAAGTAACTGAAGCTTTGTAACTGAGTACATACAGATTGTGGGTTTGTACATTTTGCAAAGCATCTGGAAACTCTGGTGGATCAATGCCAAACCCATAACTCATTGTTATTGCTTTCATTATGTGATGATTTTATGGCATGTAATATTCCATTTTCTTAACAGTACTCTTTTAAATGAAAATGTCTGTGAACTGCTGCATTTCTATCCCTAACCTTTGTTCATTGCTTGCTTGGATAAGGGTGTTTTATTCGAGACTGGGTAAGATGTACTTGTTTGAATCTAGTGTTTGATTATGACAAACTTTTAGCACCTTACCTAAACAGTTTAAGTGTCTGAGTCAGCTTCCAGGGCAGGAGTGAGGACATCATAACCCATCTGATCTTAAATGAGAAAATAGCATGAAGGACTGAACCATTCATTCACTGTTTGGAAGACTGATATAGTCTCAATAATATCATTTTCCTGGGAACATTAGAGTTCCTATTTGAAATGAGCACATCAGAAAAAATGGAATGAAACAAGCTGAATTTTTTTGTACCTCTAGCTGTCTTTAGGAGTATAAAGAAACTTAACAGATATTTGCTGCTTTGAATATTTGCAGTGTTAACCCTAGGTCTGAGACAGGATCACTTATTTTCATTTGACAGGTAGGTTTTTGTACTTAGGATTTCAGAAGTCACCAAATTTCACATTTGAATTAT